CGTCGTTATCGCTGTCGTCGTCGGCGTCGGTGTCGTGGCCAAGTGCCATCTGGTACCTACCGTCACGGTCTTGTCGTAAGAAGTCTTGCGACCAAGTTGCGGGTGGGAGGGTGGGATGTTTGCACGAGCAGTAGGGAGGACAGTTTCAAGACGGTCAAAGTGAACTACACTACGTAGAATGCACCAAAAACATTGCTCAACCTAGATTGCGCAACGTCTGCTGGTAGAAAAATTCTAGTTTGGGTCCACGGTGGTTATATCCATCCGCTTGCGGAAAGCCCCGCCGCCGCGCCGGTGCAACAGCGCAGCAGGAAGGAGGTTCAACATAGGAACAGCGCAATGTCGACGAGTAGTCTGCGTTGGGGCGGGTCGTGGTCCCGACCTTGTCGTCCAGGCGGTAGGGAAGGGGAGGGGGGAGGAGGAGGAGGAGGAGGAGGAGGAGGAAGAGGAGGAGGAGGAAGATGAGGAGGAGGAGGAGGAGAGGAGGAGGAGGAGGAGGAAAAGGAGGAGGAGGAGGAGGAAGAGGAGGAGGAGGAAGAGGAGGAGGAGGGGGAGGAGGAGGAGGAGGAGGAGGAGGAGAGGAGGAGGAGGGAGGAGGAGGAGGAGGAGGGAGGGGACGAGGAGGAGGACGAGGAAAAGGAGGAGGAGGAGGAGATGGAACAGGAGGGGCAGGAGGAGGAGGAGGAGGTGGAGGAGGAGGAGGAGGTGGACGAGAGGGAGGAAATGCGGATGAGAAGGAACAACTTTCTTTCGGCCTTCTTGGGGCTTCCTGGGGGCCTCCTGGTAGCTTCCTGAAAGCTTCTTGGTGGCCTCTTGGGGGCCTTATGGGGCTTCTTGGTTGCCTCTTGGGGCCCACTGCGCTGTCTCAGGGGATGCTTGGCCCGTCTGACGCCTGGGGGGGCCGCCTTGGGGGCCCCTCTAGGCCGCGTTGGTGCCCTCCTGGAGCGTTTCACAGCCTTTTTGCTGCCCTCTTGGGAGCCCCTTGGGCGATCCGTGGGTCCTCTTAGGCCGACTTCGCGCCTTCTAGGGAGCTTTTGGAGCCATCTTGGAGGCCTCCTGGAGGCTTCTTGGTTTTTTTGTTGGGGCGGTCGGGAACCCGAACAGGTGATAATTTCAAAGTCGTTCAAACACCTACATGCTATCAATGTGTTTGGCCTTTTCGGACTCTACAGGAGGGCCTCTTGGAGACCTCTTGGGCCGTCTTGGGGGCTTTTTGATCTGCCTTTATGCTGTCTTGGGAGCCTCTTGGGCCGTCTTAGGCCATATTGGGCCATCTTGGCTGCCTTGAAAGCCGTCCAGGAGGCCATGAGGCTGTCAAGCAGGCCTCAGGACATATCAAGAGGCCCGCAAGACGGCCCAAGAGGTTTCCAAGAGGCCCTCCAGGAGAGCCCGAGAAGGCCAAAACCATTGACTGTCCTAAGGTTTGTGACGGATTCTGAGTTTCAGGCATCTTTGGGTTCCCGACTGCCCAAGACAGCCCAAGAGGTCTTTCTGGGCAGTCGTGTTGCTCTCTTGGAGCGCTTCAAGGCCGTCTTGGGGCCCTCTTTGGAAGCCCCTTTGGCGATCTTCGGATCCTCTTGGGCCGACCTGGGGCCCTCTTGAGGGCGTCTTGGGCTGTCTTGGAGCTATCTCGGAGGCCTCGTGGCAGCCTCTTGGGCCGTCCTGGGTGGTCGGAAACCCGTATAGGCGAGCACCTCAAGATCGTTCCAAAAACCTTTAACGGTTTGGGCTCCCGCGGGCTCTCCAGAAAGGCCTTTTGGAGCTCCCTCGGGCCGTTTTGGGGGCCTCTTGGGCCGTCTTGAGGCCCTCTTGGGCTATCTTGAGCCGTCTTGCGGCTCTCTTGAGAGGCTCGTGAGCTTTCGTGGGCCATCTTGCGCCGTTTTGTTGTCGTCTTGCCGGTCTTGGAAGCCGTCTTGGAGGCTATCCTGGCCGTCTGGAGGCCGAAACGACCGCCAGAACACAATTTCGGAAGGGGCGTTCTTTTTGGCACGCGTGCGGGGAGAGGGGGGCTTCCCTTACAACTGCACAGAGCCTCCCAGACAACACAGCTCACGCGAACACGCCCACCCCGTGCATGGCAAGGTGGCGGATGTCTCTCTTTCGTGCTCCACGGGCGTCGGGCCCAGCCCATCAGCAAACAAGAATACCCCAGGCGAGAAGCTGGCCCCAGGTTCGGGGGAGCGTAAGACCTGGGTTTGCCAGGACTCGGGTTCGCCATCGTTTTTTGACGACCGCGCCTCGGATTTTGACGAGGAGGAGTTCCGTGGGATGTCTGCAGCGGGAGGCCTCGTCAAAATGCAGGCTCGACCTCGTCATTGTTTTGACGATCCCTTCGGGGATCTCCGAGTCCCCTGTACCCAGGTCTTACGTCCCCCTGACAGGTGGGCCGCGGATCGGGAGAAGCACGCCCTCGGAAGCCTGGGAGCGGAGCGGGGCGGGGCTCGCCGAGGCCGCGGGGGCGGGCCGAGCGGCCAGCGGGCCCCCGAGGAGCAGCGCGGGGGTGGGCCGGGGGCCCGCCCTGCTGCAGGCAGCGGGGGAGAGCGCGCTCTCCGACGCCGCCCGGGGCGAGCGGAGCAGAGGCAGAAGCTGGCTGCGTATCCGGTGGTTCCCCCGGTGCTCCCATGGCGATCGGAGCAGAGGCAGGAGCTGGCTGCGTATCTGGTGGTTCCCCCGGTGGTGTTTGGTGTGCTCCAGATCTCGTAAGAAAAGGGAGGGGGTCTGGACCCTCCAAGACGAGCCATTTCAGACCTCCCCCGTGGGAGAACCCTCCAAAACATCGTCCCCAGACCCCCCCAGGCCCTCCAAGATAGCCTGGAAGAGACCCCCCTCCCGAAATTAGACCCCCCTCCCTTTATTGCGAAATCTGGAGTATACCTTGTGTGTTGTGTCACCTGGGATCGGTCGTCGCGCCCTCGTCCGCGTTGTCCACCACGCCTGCGTTGTGCTGGTCGGGTGTCGTGGAGCTCCTGGCTCCCATGCTGCCACAAGCCTGGTCCTTTTGTGGTGCGGTTGTGCTGCCACTCGCTTTGTCCAACGGCATTTTCATGAAAAGTGGAGAGGAGGAGCAAGGATGACGAGGAGGAGTAGGATCGTGGTGGGATGGTCGCGGTTGTAGCTGGAAGCCGAGGTTCTTGACTACCACTCCTGAGCGCATCTTTGGGGAATCCAGAAAGGTGATCGGAGCTCCTTCTCCTCCTCGACCTCCTTCTTCTGCTTGTCCTCATTCAGCCACGGCGATTGTGCACGGTGACTTCAGGGTTCTGCCGTTCAGACGTGAGCTCGTCATCGTCATCGGTCGAATATTCGGCAGCGTCTCCAAGTTGCACTCGTGGCATGGTCATCCTCATCCGCCTCCTCTTCATGAGACCGCTGGTGAAGGATTACTTGGCTCCAATAAAAGGTTCCTTGGAAAGTCTCACGGGAATTATGCACAAGTGCATGCAATGACCGCGTGACCTCATAGCCCCAAAGTGGTATCACCAGGGCCACAAGCCAACGACGAGGACCTTCAAGCGAAATTGAGATGCCCCCATGGCCCAACATGCTCCCGACAGGGCATTTTGAGAGTCTCAGGCTGCCTATGCGATGACCCGTCTGATGAGTAGCGGTCGATGCCGAGACGGCCCCAAGGCCAGAAGATGGACCCAGGCACATCAAGGGCGACTCCAAACTGACCGAGCGACGCCCGCACAATCCAAACATAACGCGAGTGCGATCTGAAAACGACCTGACGACAAGTCCAACATGCACCCAGTATCGTTCGCAAGTCGACGCAGTGGGCGGTCCCGCGACCTGCATATCATGCAAAGTTGATCTCAAGATGACCCAACATGACTTCAAGAGTCCCTGGCGAGGGGTCCGCGGCGACAGGATGGCGCGTGGATCGCCTGAAGATGGCATCCAGACGGCCCCCCCACAGCAGGAGTTCGTGAACTTATGATGAACCCCAGCTTGCGTCCAGCCGATCCCAACACGGCGGGATCCCTCAAGGGCCCGGGATGTGTGTTTATTTTGTTTTAATGGATTGGATTTCGATTTGGCTGAATCAAACTTAATGGGTTGGCTCGGTGGGATCCCGCCCGACCCAGGAAGGAAGACTACCTTGCTAGGCTTCTACGGGGGCAAGGGCTTCGAAAGGCGCACTGTTACTACCGCCGGTTCCGCCGCCCTCGCAATATTTCTGCCGTCTTCCGCGCGGCGAGCGCCGTTAATAAGATTCAAGGAACTTGCACTGGGCCGATGTAAGATCGGTGTCAGGCCAAGGGGAGACCGAAAGCTGAGGATGGGGCTGGGGGAGGCTGGATCACAATCTGTTTCGATTGAAGCCCCATAGGGAGGAGGAGAGGAGGAGGAGGAGGAGCAGGAGGAGGATAATAATAATAATATTATTCATAGAATAGGTGTGAGGAGGAGGAGGAGGATAATGGAGGAAAGGATGACGAGGATGAAGAAAAAAGCTAGGGGACGAAAAAGGAGAAGTAGTGGCAGTAAAAAAAAAAAAAACATGAGAGGAAGACGAGGGAGCAGAGGGAGGAAAGCCAGAAGGGAGGGAGGGGGTAGGGGTGGAAAGAGGAGCATACAGTTCAAATGCTTTGCGGCGCACTTGTTTCCCCCACTCTGCGTTTCCTTCCTTCCTTCCCCTCCTTCCCCTCCTCCCCGTTTCCCTCCAGTCCCTTTCCCCGTTCCCGTGTTTCTCTTCCCGTCTCCTCTCTCTCCCATTCTCGCTGCTCTCATCATACCCATCCACCCCCTTCTCCTCCCACTTCTCCTGGTGCACCCTTCTCTCTCTCTCTCTCGTGCGTTCTCTTTCTCTCTCTCTCTCTCTTTCTCTTTTGTTGTTTCTCTCTCTCTCTCTCTCTCTTTTGCTGTGCTTCTATCCCTCGCTCCCTCTCTCTTTACCTCCTCCTCCTCCTCCTCCTCGTGCTCCGCCGCACCTCTCGAGCGGGAACAAAAAGCCCCCGCCCCCGCCCCTGCCGGCCCGCGGCCCCCCGCCCTGCGAGGCGGCGCCGCCTTCGAGTGGGGCGACGCGGTCACCCTCGCGGACCTCCAGCGGGGCGGCGACGGCAAGATGTGCTTCGCGGGGCCCGCGGGCCAGAGGTCAGGAGGGACAAACACACACAGACACAGACACAATGAATCGTCGATTCCCAAGAAAATATGGGAAAATACGGGGAGTCCTTTTATTTGTGTCTATGGGTGGAAAAAACACACAGACACAATGAACGTCGAGTCCCCCGAAAATATAGGAAAATATGGGAATTGGGGGGGAAGACAAAACCCCAGAAAACATGGGAAAATATGGGGGAACTTTTTATTTGTGTCTATTTATTTGTGTGTCCCAGGGCCCCTTCAAGAGGCCGGGGCCGGCAGCTTCCCTCGGCGAGCGCGCCGGGCGGGTGGTGCCGAGTGCCGCCAGAAGTGCCCCTGGCCCAAGGTTTGGCATCGCTTGGACGTGTGCATTTGTTCTCGGCGAGAAGCCACGAGGACCAGCCTGGACCATCGAGGAACAAAAACACGCACGAAACCGAAAAAGACACGGGAAATGGACGTCCGAGCGACGGCAAGAAGGAGCCCCCAGGAGTTCTCAGGAGGCCCCCTCACGGCCTCCAGGAGCACCCCTCTCGAGGCCCCGGGGGCCGCAGGAGGTCCGGAATATGGAGCGAGAAGCTGGGGGCACCCTGGGCCAGGGGTAATTACCTTTCGCAACCCCCGATGGCAAGGGGCGAAGCAGAGAAAAACGCCACAGACATGAGCTTTTGGCGCTCCGCGCGGCTTTCTTGGATCCGCGCTGGTCCCCCCCGCGCGGCGCCTCCGGCGCCGCCCCCGGCGCGTTCCGCGCGCCAGGGAGGGGGGTCTCAGCGCAGGGCCAGGACACCCGCGCGGAGCGCCAAGAGTGTACGTCTGTGGCGCTCCTTCTTCCCCGAAGTGGGGGGGGAGGAGGAGGCGGAGGAGAAGGAGGAGGAGGCGGAGGAGAAGGAGGAGGACGCCAGCTGGTGCCCAAGGGGGGCCCTGGAGGGCGCCTTTAGGCCCTTTGCCTTCCCCCCCTCCCCTCTGGGTCACCCGCCCGAGAATCAGGGGGGTGGAAAAAACACACAGACACAATGAACGTCGAGTCCCCCGAAAATATAGGAAAATATGGGAAGTGGGGCGGGAAGACAGAAACCCAGAAAACATGGGAAATTTGGGGGAACTTTTTATTTGTGTGTATTTATTTGTGTGTCCCAGGGCCCCTTCAGAGAAAGCGGGCCGCCTCGGCTCGGGCTGCCAAGGCTCGCAGCCGTGGTTCCCTCCGTGCGCTCCGCGCGGACCCGGGAGGCCGTTTCGGCTTCGGGCGAGCGGGCCTTTGTGCAGAGGGGGTCTCGAACGTGTGCGCAGCAGTTCGAGCGGTCGCTCGTGCTCTCTCTCTCTCTCTCTCTTTCTGCCTTGTTCTTTCTCTGTGCCCTCACGCACACCCTCTCTCCTCCGCGGTGCTGTGACGACCATCGGTCAGACGCGAATGGGCCACGCTGGCGATAAGTTCAAGGATATCCCGTGTGGGGGCGACCGCGCACATCGAAGCCGTGCAATGCTGGGCAAGGGACAGGCTGCGGTCGGGAGCTTTGGCTTAGCGTGCCGCGCCGCCGGTTCCAGCCCACCACGGTGCCCCGAGCCTTTCCGAGCTTCCCGCCCCGCGGGGCGGAGCGACACGCCATCCTCTCGGAAGGTACAGCGTGTCACCGGGGCCGCCGCCGCGATACGCTGAGCAAAAGCTCTTGGCCGTAGGGCGTGGCAGCAAACACACAAACATACATAAGCACACACACAAGCAACGCATGTTCACACTAAAGCACGTTTTCTCTGGCGCGCTGATGGGATGCAGTCGGCGGTTCCCCGAGCTCGAGGGCGGGGTGCGCCCAGCAGAACACACACACACACACGCACGCACACATACACACACACACACACGCGCACGCACGCACGCACCCACGCACACTGTATGGTGTCGCGGCCATGCGCGCAGCGGCACACGCACACGTGTTCTTCACCCGGCGCTGTAGAGTCACGGACGCCTGGTATGTTGACGCGAATTGTCTGCATGCATTGCAGACGAGATTACTTCGAATGCACTCGAGCCGAAGCCGTGAAAACTGGTAGAACCACGCGACGCACGCGCGCACACGCACACACACACGCACACACACTCACACACACACACACACACCTTTTTTTGCGTCGGCGGCTAGGCAGAGGAACTGCGCTGGCGGATAGGGCGCTGGTAGGGCAAACGAACGCGAATTCGGCCGCGGTGCACGAGGGGGGAGGAGGAGGCGCCCAGCCGTGGCGGGAAGGAGACGGAGGCAGGGCCAGACGCGCGGCGGGGCGGCGCTGGGGGTGGGGGCCAGCAGCAGCGGGGCGGCAGCTGGGGGGGGGGGTAGAAGCCAGCAAGGCGCGCTGCCAGGCAGCAGGCCGTGCGGGGTGGGCAGTGCCCCGCAAAGGATGGTGGCGAAGGTGTGCACGCGG